ATTTTTCCCATAAATAACATTTATAGAACCTTTTTTCCCTAAATTTGTTTCTTTAAGAAAAGTATTAACTAAATGTAATTGCCCAACAGAAGTTAAATTCCTGCAAACTCTAATTTTATGTGCCTTGGTGCTAGCAGATATACGGTTTTTTCTATTTTCAAACCAAAGATCACTGTCAGACTGATTTAATGTTTCAATAAAAATGTTAAAACATGCATTATGATTAACTTTTATATACCTATTATAAAAAATATGTTCATTCATTTTTAAGGGAAACATAGAAGCTAAAAACAATTTAATATCATTATATTTTTGATAAAATAAAATTAAGGAGAAATGTTTTTTATAGGAGCTAATTAAAAACTGATTTTCTAAACTGTCTAGAATATCATTTACACATAGTTTACATTCCCTTTTAACTTCACTAAGTGATGTAACTTTCAACATATTGCTATAACTACAGGGTATATCAAAAATATCATAACTATCAACAAGAGTTGAGTGACAGACAGGAGTAGTTACTATAGTGTTTGCTTTTAATTTTTTTCTTGGAAACAAATCTTCTATTCTTTTACCCTTCTTATATTTGTTTTGAGCAGAATTTGTAGGTGTACCCCACTCTTGTGGTAAGCTTGTTTTTGATGTTCCATCTTCATTGTTTATGTACCAAATTACAGCAGCAATGTGCTTACATTTAGCACCCGCGCCAGCAGGACAACCACAAGAAGCACAAAATACCAACCTGGTTTCATCAATCTGTTTATAAATAACATTTTTAAAACTAAAAAAAAATATCTTCCGTAGACACGTAACTAGTAAAGTACTTAGATAATAATCGGGTAGTTGAAACGTTTTTAAATATTTCAATTTGGAATAGACCTACATAAACACTATCTACAACACAGTTTTTGTTTGGGAACCGATGTTATAGAGTGTTTTATTTATTTTAATATTAGACTAATTATATTATAGTAAAAAATTAAATTTTCTTGAAAATGTATGAAGGAAAAATGAAATATATAAATATAAATTATTTACTTCAAGAGTTACTTTCCATGGTTCTAAAGTAACTGATGTTTGTCTTATAACTGAGCCTTTAATATAAGACCATCCATTGCTGCATTTTATCTCTACTACATTTTTTACATGATTGCTGTCATACAATTTCTTCCCTTTATTATTTGTAAATTCAACATTGTACGAAATTGACTGAAATCCGTGGCTCAAAGTTAAATCAGTCATATTGATTTATTTTAATTAATATGGATAAAAATAAAAAAATATAGTAGACAAACTTGCTAAATAGACGACAACTATCTACACAAGTCAGAAAAACCAGGAACATTAGAATAATAATTAATAATATAATATAAAAATATAATAAATAATAGATCTTAATACAATAGATGCATAATAGATCCCCGAAATTAGTTCATACTTTCACTACTACGGCGCGCTGCTATCAATCCTGTGCATACCGTCTATAACATTATAATATAATAATATAATACGTACTAATAGTAAAATAATAATGAAATAGGTATAAATGTTATTGATAATAATAATATATACTTTTATATTTTAATATAATATGAATATAATAAGAAATTTATAGAAATTAAAAGAAATTAAATTTATCTTTTAATTTAATAGTAAAAAAATTTAACTTATAATATATTATGGAGTATAATGTGTATAGTAGGTAGGTATATTAAATATTAATATAATTTATACCAATAGTATAATAATAATAAAGTAGGAAGTACCTATGTTATTCATAATAATAATACTTTTATATTAAAATATACCTAATATAAAAATAATAGCAAAATCATAAAAATTAAAAGAAATTAAAAAAAGATTTTGGTTTAAGCAAAGAAATATAAAACATTATTTTAATGATTTTTTGATTAAATTAGCTACTTGATATTTAATTTTTTTCCAAGCTCTATTTTTCAATATTGATTCATTTTTAATAGCCGTCAAACGGTCGTGTTGCTGTGGGATTTTACCTAGTGAAATGAAAGTCCCAAGTGACCTTTTGATTGCATCCAATTCCAAAGAACTCCGTTTAACATAATCAACCCGAGTCTTTGTTTTTTTTTTGAACTTATGTTATGATTTATTTTCACTGATTCAATCTACCATCAGAGTCTTTTGGATCTTGTATATTTTAACTTTCAGTAATTTCAGTAGTGTCTTCTAAAAATTAATTTAACATATTTTTCAAATTAAATTATGTAAATATTCATTATTCAAGTTAAATAATTATAATTATACTATACTTTCGTCGTCTTCAGAGTCAGTAATATTTTCAGCAGAATTATTCAATGGCATCAAATAGTTATAAAATTCTTCTAGACTTTTCCCTCTGAGTCCATGTAGTTGACCAGACTCCATTGCCAATAGTATTTTGCTTACATGACTGACTTGTAAGGTGTTATCGGGAAGTCTATAATATTCATTATGGATGGAGAGGTGACCCATAAAGTTTGCAGTTGTTCTCTATCGTTTGTATTTAAGTTTAATAGTTGCGACATTGTCGCTATATGTTTTCTGAGTTTTGTTGATGTTAATAATTTAGGTGACAATGAACCGCATTCATTAGCTGCCTTCCTTAGGCAGTCAGTGCCGCGATAACAGCCAACAGAAGTATAGGGAATTGCAAAGAGGTACTCATTTTGTTCAAATATAATAACAGATTTTCTAATTTTTAAAATAAGATCTATTGAATTTTTCATTATTGGTGTTAGCAAAACTGGAACAGCTCTACCTTTCTTGCCTCTTATTTCAAATCTATGGAAACTGTTGGTCAGTTTTCGTTCTACTTCTATAAGAGATTTATGTATTTCTTCTTGAATTTTATCCGTATTTCTTGTTAAGTAGTCTTGTATCTTAATTTGATTAGCTTCACCAGATCTGCGACGGCTTAGGAGAATTATTTATGTTAACAAATTTTGGCACAATGTTTTATAAGTATCCTGATTAACATCTCCCTTTTCTTACATCATCAAGTTGATTTGCTAAATATTTGTGTAAAAGTGTTATGTCTTTAGCCATTGCCGGCGCAAGAAGTATTGGCGCCCTTACCCCCCAACCCCCCACATAGTTTGAGTAGTAGTATAATTAAGTTTTTTAGTAAGTTAAATAAAATTAGTATGTATTTTGTATCATAATTTTAAACTTTATTACCTGATCGTAGAATATTGTAAAAAGGTTACACATATTATTTTATTAACTTATAAATTGCCGCATTGCGTAAAAGAAAAAATTAAAAATAAAAATAATATTAATTTTAAACTTATAACTATAGGCTATAATTAATATTAAAAATTAACTTTTCTAGCTTTTAATTCAGAAAACTGTTATACTCTTATACTAACCTATACTGTTAACTCTTCATAGTTTACTTTTTGGGCTAAATCATTTTCAATTGACAAAATTGCTAAAGAAGAAAGTCTATCATCTGTCATCGAGGAGCGCAAATAAGTTTTTATTAATTTAAGTTTAGAAAAACTTCGTTCACCGGACGCTACAGTAACTGGAATCGTCAGCAATATTCTTAGAGATATCCATGTGTAAGGGAATACATAAACTATTTTCATATCGTGTATAAGCTGGAGCGCTGATTTAGGTGATCCTTTGCCAATTGGTAAAAGTGAGCTCAGATGTTTAAGTTCACTGTAAAGCTTTACAGAATTTATATCAGCACTATCTCCTTCCGAGAGTGCTCCATGCAGATCTTTACGGCATGCCAAAAGATGTTCAGAAGATGGTAATTTTTCTAAATTGTACAGAAACCCCCATAATTGCTTATGGTTTTCAAATTGAGTAAATCTTTTTTTTATAGATTCTCTGACTGTGTCTACAACAGTGTAGAAAAATTCTCTTTTAAAACGTTCTTCGGCGCCAATCGAAAAATCTTGATCGTTGTTTTCATCAAAAAAAGTTTTCTTACGTCGTACTCGTACTTCTTTTATGATTGGGTCTAACCTAATGACTGCTATTTCTTTTGAAGAGTTTGACGCATCTGGGTACCCTGTTTCTCGATACTTGTTAATATATTTGACACAATTATCTAATAATGAAGACGCCATTTCTATATAAATTGTAAACCCTTGCATAGATTTACTTACAATATTTACTTGAAATAATAAATCATACCAAACATTTAATGAAATCAATACCTTGAAGTCAAGTAAATGATTTCCTAAACTGCTAGCTTTATTTCTTGTACCAGCATCTGCCTTAGATGATACAGCCACTTCAATTAATACATCGTATACTTCTTTGGTTTGATATCGAATTGCTTTTACACTGTCTATGCGACTCTCCCAACGGGTTGTACACAATGGCTTAACCGTCAAGTTAGGTAAGTGTGATTTTAGTACTTGCCAACGGTTAACAAAAGCCGAAAATAAAACAAATATCCGTTGTACATTTCCAAAAAGTGTGATGGATTCTTTGGATTGCGAAGCTGCGTCAGATATAACGAGATTAAGAGAATGACAACAACAGGGCATAAATGCCGCTTTAGGGTTTAAAGCTAAAATTCTTGCTTGAACTCCTTTTTTATGACCTTTCATATTCGCGCCATTGTCGCAACCCTGACCACGACCGTTTATTATATCAAGCTTGTTTTATTTTAGCGTCTTAAGCAATAACTCAGTGAGGCTTTCTCCAGTAGATTCACTAACTTCTCTAAAACCAATAAAATGATCAGCTACTTGTAAATTGCCATTATATTCGTCCACAAATCTTATAGTAAATGACATTTTTTCATAATGGCTGACATCAGGAGTACAATCTAATATCACAGAAAAAAATTGTGTGTCCTGTACTTTTTACTGAATGATTTCTAAAACTTTGGAGGCCATTAGATTTATGAGTTCATTTTGAATATCCTTACTGCAATAATTTAGATTGAGTTTTTGTGTAGTTATTCGATTTAAATGTTCTTTCATATAATTGTCATATTTTCCTAAAAGTTCTATTAACCCCTAATAGTTTCCATTATTTCTTTCAAATAGTTTATCAGACGATCCTCGGAAAGCTAGATTGTGTTTGGACAAGTATAAAGTTATTGATATTAACCTTTCTAAAATACTTTTCCAATATTTAACTTCTGTATTCATTACTCGTTGCAGGTCATTATCAATACATCTACCAAGTTTTAATCTTAATTCACATTCGTGCCACTTTTTGTATGCAGTAAAATGCTCAGGTGATTTTTCATGAGAAATAAGTGTTGTTGTCATATGTTTCCAGTCATTATTGCCTATTGTGGATAGTGTCCTATGAGAACTATTAAAAAGTTTGCAACAAAAACAAAACACCCGATCAATGGTTTTAGAATATACAAGCCATCGTCTTTTAACTTTTTCATTGTTGTCAAATTTTCTTATTTTGTATATTTTAGAAAAATGACGATTATTTTCATCTTTGGGAAAAATGTCATCATTTATTTCACGTGGTCCCATCTTAATAACTATGTCTATAAAGTTATTCTGTCTGTTATCTGGCCATAAATATGGGTCGAATTAATCAGGTTGAGAAATAAATGCAACGGATTTGGAAACATCGATGACCGGTTTATCGCTTATCTCAACTGTTTTGTTCGCAAGTGCACTATTACTACTATTTATGTCAATATCAATATTATTATCATCACAAGGAAAATATTTTAAAGTAGGAAAGGTCAGCGTTTCTTCATTATTATGTTTTACAGGAGTTTAAGAAATATTTTCATCTGTACTATTTATTGATTCATTTTTAGCCTCCAATGTCGAAGTAGATGTTTCATTATTATGTTTTACAGGAGTCTTAAAAATATTTTCATCTATATCATTTATTGATTCATTTCTAGCATCCGATGTCGAAGTAGATGTTTCACAGGTTCCACTATTTTTATTAAAATATTTGTTCATCATTTTTGCATTTTTTTCTAATTCTAATTGAGCTTGAGCTCTACTCTTTCGATACTGGGCTCCTGAAGGTTTATCTTTTTTTGGCGGCATGGTATCAATTATTTTACCTACAATTATTTAATTATTTATATTTGCATACTTAGGTTAAAAAAAAATAATATTTTATGATAAAATGAAAAAGAAGAGAAGACTTTTATTGGAATTATCGTGTGTAATATGTATAATAATATTATTATAAATAATCAATAGATCGCCATCGCATGAATTATTGTGCGATAGCAATCATCACATACTCTATAATATTGTATTATATTATAGGCTGCCACCCGAATTGTAAGACGAAAATAATATTAAAATAGGTATCATATTAAATTTATAGATTCTGCGAAAACGTGTTTAAGTATTTTCATAATAATAAATACGTGAATGTGCGATTCACCACGTTACATCGACCGTTGCGCCATATATTAATTATTTTATATTAACATCATTTCAATTACCAAAGTATATTCATTAACATATGATATAATATTATTTCACACCACGATTGCCTATAATATAGGAATACTGTGTTTCACTAACTACTTATTTATATTGAAACAACCAGAGAACGGAATTTATTGTAAAAAAGAAACCAAAATATTATGTACAAATTTACTAAACAAAATATATGAATATTGATTACCTGTTGGCTAATTGTTTTATGTTTGGTTCTAAGCTACGTATTATTTTAAGACATTTTAAAGCTATCGCATTCTTTGTGATATATAGTTTTTTAAAAGTATAATTAACGTAGAATTGGTCAAATTAGCATATAGGTGTAATGTACATTCGATTAATCAGGTTCAAAGTACAACAATTATCAATATGTTTAATGTTAGGTACCGTAGGTAATTAGGTAGAACGGTATCGAATTTATCAGTTATAGCTTCTGGGCTTTACAAATGAAAATTTTCCAGCGGTACCGACTTTCAACCACCAATACTTTGAGGAGCTGTATCTCGCAAACGAAACATCGAAAAATAGAAATGTTAACGCTTAAATTCATAAAAAAAATGGTTTTATTAATTCATGATTTTTTTATTATATGTTACCATTTGAAAATCAAAAGTTGATAGTGGTTTCACCAATAAATATAAGGGTGAAAAAAATTAAAATAGTATAGAGTTTTAGAAAAGCATTAATCTAACAGTTTAAAAAAATAAAAAATAAAAAAAGTTAATAATTTTCGAGATAATTAGTGTACTTAAATGGATCATCCTGTATATTAAGTTTTGATTTTCAATGGGACTAAAATATATTGTTTAGAAAAACGGGGGGGGGGTTGGATTATCTCTGCTTTGCGTATAATCGGTGATCGATATGAAGGAACATGAAGGCCCAAGGAAAAGAACCTATGTACTCAGTCTCATTTTAGTTGAATAAAGGCAAGCTAAAAGTAAAATTTTAGCACTATTATTATTGAATTTAATACTAAATAACTGAAAATAATTTCATGATTTGAAAGATTTAATGTCTTTTTTTTTTTAATGTCGTTTATTTGTGAGAATTTACAATCTATACAAAAATGGTACAATAAGTAAATGTGATAATAATTACAAGTGGCAATGAGGGAAGTACAATGAGTAGAAGTTTCACATTAGAAATTTCTACGTGGAAGGTAATTTAGGGAGAAATAGTAATATACATGGTTAAGTTTGATGTGCGTTGAGAAGATCTCTGGGCCATTCACATTTGAGGCGTCTGGCTGGGTTGTCTGGAAGAGCATTGGTATGAAGTTGAGCGATGAGGGGGTTTGAGTGATGTTCCATATTGGAGTGCAGTCGAAGATAATATTTGATAGCTGTATGTTTGATGGTGGGGATTTGGAGGTCATTATGAAGAGCAACATTTGTGACGTACCAAGGGGCTTTAGCAATCATGCGGAGACAGATGGCTTGGAATGCTTGTATGGTTCTAGTGTTCGATGGTTTACTGGTACCCCAGAGAGCGATTCCGTATGACCAGATAGGTTGCAGAAGGGATTTGTAGAGTAGTAGACGGTTGGAGATGTTCATATTAGATTTCATGAGAGGCCTGAGGATGTGAAGGCGGCTTTTTAGTTGTTTGCGTTTGGTTTTGAGGTGGGGCCCCAGGTGAGCCTTCTGTCAAACAATAAGCCGAGATATTTGACTTCATTTGAGTGAGGAATGATTGCATTCTCGAATGTTATATGAGGACAGTCCCCGGGGCGGAGGGAGAAAGTGACATGAGAAGACTTGGAGTCGTTGATCTTGATTTTCCAAGATTTGAACCAGTGAGATATGCTGTTCAGATGATTTTGAAGTAGGCTGCTTGCTTCGAAGGGGTCTTGACTAGATGAAAGGATTGCGGTGTCGTCGGCATATGTCCCTATTAGGGTGTTATCCGTTGTAGGAATGTCAGCTGTGAACAATGTGTATAGGAAAGGAGCGATGTCGCTTCCCTGAGGGACACCGGCTAGAATGTTTTGTGTGCTGGAAAATGTGGTTTTTAATTTGACTCTGAATGTTCTGTTATTTAGGTATGATTTTAGAAGTAAATAATAGGGTGCCGGGAAGATTTTTTTAAGTTTGTATAATAAACCATCGTGCCAAACGGTGTCAAAGGCTTGAGCTACGTCGAGAAAAAGTCCTGAGCAGTATTTTTTTGTTTCTAGAGATGTAGCAATGTGGTCCACTACACGGTGGAGCTGGTGAAAAGTTGCATGTTTGGCACGGAAACCGAATTGAAAGCTGGGAAGGGCATTTTGTTTGAGTGCGATATTTACAAGTCTTTTGAGAAGAAGTTTTTCAAAAATGTCTGTGATCCAATTTTTTATATTTTCTTCAAATTTTGGAAAAACTAAATTTTGAGAATGTAACATTAATTTTAACTTTCTAAATAATATAATATTAAGTAAAGAAGATAATGGTAATATAGAATAATATTTTAAAATTATACAAAATCAGTTCATCTTTTAAATCACTAATCAGTAGGAAGTCACTATTAAAATTATGTTAATCAACTATGCATTTAACGAAACACCTTGGTAAATACAAAGTTCAGATTAAAAGTTTTGTTCTTAAAAGTATATTTTAAGTAGCCTACTTGGTATTTACTTGTATTATACCTACCTACAACCTAATATCCACATTAGTTCAAAATTAAAATATAAATACCTATTTATTGAATTAAAAATATTTGTACCATCATTTTTTTAAAGAAAATGTTAAACATGTTTGAAAAGAATTAATACCTAACTCATTGAAGTATATATTTGAATTTTAAATTATTGTGGCACAAAATGTGTAGGTAGTTTTTAAAACTTTAATGATCAGTTCTTTAAACATCTCATAAAAACAAAAGAAATACCTACTTATTCAGTATTGAACTGGTTTTGATTTAATAGTATTTATTTAATTATATTATTCTAAATTACTTGGATAACAATATAATATAACTTAAAGGTACTTACTTCCAATTTTCAAAATTTTGGCCTCATAAAACATCTTGTTTTTCCATTTTACCATACGTGTTACGCCAACTTCTATATTTTTTATAGACTTTGAAGGACACATATAAAATATGTCATCTTCAATATATTGCACAATTGTCAATTCTATTAAATTAAATAAATAATAAATACCCAATAGTAATTTCAAAATAAATAAAAAATTAATTAGGTATGTCCAGGGATGTAATTTAAAGTATTGCTGGTTATGTTTATGGGCCATTGGGCTTACAGGAAGGAAATTGCAAATTACATAAATTGTAAACTAAATCTAAATTATACTAAATTTTGGTTTGAAGATTGGCGGCTGTGATGAATTGGATGATGTTGGCTATGGATTGAGGGTGATTCCTTAGTATTTCGGACAGTGGATTCGGGCAGGCTGTGGCTTGTTCGTTTATTGTGGTATGTTCGGCATTCAGTGAGAATGTGGCTGATGGTGACTTGGACACCGCAGGATGTGCACATTGGGGGTTCTTCCTTGGTCATTAGGAATCTGTGAGAGATTTTCGTGTGTCCAATTCTAAGTCTGGTTATTATGAATTCTAATTTTCTGTGGATTTCGATAGGAAATGTCCAATTTACTGCGTTGTTTTATAAAATTTAATTCTGTGTAATAAAATGTCCACCTACCTTCAAGTTTTATAAAAGGTCAATTCACTCTAATTTTTAATCTAAGGAATCTAAACGTGATCTTCTGAGCTTAAAATTTACAATGTTACGCACTTGTAAGACGGAGACAACAAATGTCGATGTAGCGTCCTCTTAAGATAGAATAATATGATTACAATAAAAATTTCTGTGGTCTATAATAACCATAGACAGATGTATGAATTTAAATAAACGAAAAACATTTGTTGTATTTGGCCGATTCTAATAAGAAAAGCATGTTCGTCTTAGTAGATTTAGTTTAGTTTATTCTCAAAGTGTATATGAGAAATGAGAAGTCTTAAACAGATTAAAATTTAATTTAATTATCTTTTAGAAGAAATATTTATTTAGGTGCATTACAAAATGCGGGGATAGTCTGATGGGCAAGACATTTGTTTAAGATTAAGACACTCGTTTCTACGAGATTCAAGAACTGCTATCCAGGATTATACTGGAAAATCTAAAATTTAACCAATAAAGAAAAAAAAACGGTGTATATTAAAATGTTATGTTTTTTATATATTATTGAGAAAATTATTTATCTAAAAAGTAAAATTGTATAACCTGATCTTGGGAGGATTGTAGGAATACATAACCATAAAGAATACCTATAGGTACTGTTATTAGATACATGTAGTTTTGATAATTTTGTTATTAGTATTTAGAAGGTATACTTCACAATTCAACATAATATATATATCTAATGTATAGTTGAAAAATTTAAAAATATCTTAGTATACCTTGTACTTGTTAAGTACCTAATTAGCTGACAACATTTATGAAAGGGGTTTGATCTCGATTCATTTTGAATTATTATCCAAAGCTGTGTACGTGATAGGTACCTACTCATTTTATATCAGTAATGTTTCATTATTTTTTTTAATCAGAACAAGTAATCTTTATTTTGCCTTTTTCGGTTTTAATGTCAATTTTTCTAGGATTTTAGGTTTTTAAGGCATTAAACATAAAAATTGGGGTTTTTAATATTTGGATTTTTGCATTTCATTTCCAGCACTAAACCTTATGAAAAAATATAAATACGAAATTGTTTGTAATAATTATGATGTATATTGGCACAGTGAAAACTTTTTTGGCCTGCCTATAATTTTTAATAGAAGTTCAAAAAATTAAAATGACGCCCCTGTTTAAGTCCCATAGTTTTGCTTTTGATATTGACGCCCCGTCATAGCACTAGGTAGTAAAGGTCTGCACGGGCATAATTTACAGCCCGGCCCAGCCCGGTAATATTTCTTGAAAACCCAGCCCGGCCCGCAAATAGTTTTTCACTTTTAAACATCATTCATTTAAAATTATCACTTTTAATACAATTAAAAAAAAGAGTTGTTTGTCTTTAACAACATATTTAATAATAAAAAACAAAATATAGAATTAATATAAAAATTCCTCAACAACAAATATTACACAATATACTTGTCTTTCGAATAACAAACTAAGTAATATATTATAGCTAACTTTTAAAACATTCATTTAAAATTATCGCTTTTAAGATAGTAGATTGTAGATAGTAGATTATATTATTTTCTTTTTAGATACAATATTAGTTATTGCGTTTCAGCGGGTCTGGGAATAGTCACCACTAACGATTGACCGGTTTATTAAGACACGTGGTTATAAATAGTTAATGTCATCGCCAAACGTCTAGTCCTGTTTTTATTTTATATTATTATAGTTTATTCATAAGTTCTTAATAATACAGATTTAAGATAGCAAGTCAATTTCGTCATACTTCACTTGTCTATAATTTATATCCGATAGTACAATATATTTTTTTTTGTTTATAATTTTGGTCCTGTTAGAATTTCTAATTTTTCATAGAAGTCCGGCCCGGCCCGGTCCGTAACTTATGTTCAAAAAAGGTCCGACCCGGCCCGCCTAATAACTTCCACAGTGGTCTGAAACGTCATTTTACGCGGCCAAAAGTCTATATTTTAAATGTCAATTTTTTTTTTTTTTTGTAATGGAACTATTATCTGTATACACTATTGAATATTAATCCCGAGTTACAATTTCCTAAGTATAAATTCTATAGAGCTGTAACATGTTTAGTAAAAAATTTCTTTATTTCTATCAATATTTCATCGAATTTTATAGTTTTACTTGCATATTCTTTCATATCGAAGAATATATATTTTTTGATAAATAATATTTTTATATTAAATTGTAAGGTCCTTAGGCTAATATTAAAGACCGAAAATGGAATTTTTATTTTTAACTTTTTTTTTATCATACAAAAAAAGTAAAAAAAAAAATTTTTTAAATTTTTTAAATTTTAGCCACTTAAATCTACGCATTTTTTTCGTTTCTAGAACAGATGGATGTCATAGAGAAAGTTCTTAGCTATTTGAAAACATATATTTGTTATTGCCCCGGTAAACTATACCGGCGTAGAACATTTAGTATTATCAGAAAACGTATTATCGTAAGATTTGCGTTACTTAACAATTTATTGAATTGAAATGCTTATCTGTATCCTGTTCGATAGACTAATGTCATCTAATTTATATTATTGTTGTATAAAAATATAAGTAGATAAGTAATGTACCTTCCTTTCTACCTGTATATTAGAAAAATTGTCTGCTATTATAGATACGATATTGCAATACTTGTACAATCGCATTCACAGTTTAGACGTTTTGTTACCACATGCGTTCAGTTTATTTCGTTATATGTACAACACTTGTAATTCTTTGATTTAGTTCTGTTTAATTTTACAATAATTGTTTTGTGTTTTTCAATTATGGATGATCATTCAGAAAGTAAGTATAAATAAAGTTATTATTATTACTCAGGAATTTATTTCAAAGAAAAATATCTATTTAAATATTTTATTCAATTAATTTGATATTATTTTATTTATTTAATAATATATTCAATTTATATTCTATTTTTTTTCAGCTAGTTCAGAAAACGATTGTGGCAAGGTGTTTTTAATTCGAGATATAATTGAATTTATTCGAAAAAAACCACTCTTTACAATGCAAATCGGTTATATCTTATTGAAATATACAATTAATATGTAGTACATGTAGTCAGCCTTGACACGTGTGTACAATATAGTAACTAGTTATGTACGAGCATAAGACTCACTCTCTTTACGGATGTAACATGACCTCGGTCGTGCATATACAGGGTGATTTTTTTATCGTGAACCAGTTAATATCTCGGGAAGTATTAGTAATTTTAAAATAATTTTTTTTTAAACTTTCTAGGTTTTACTATTTTACACTGTGTTACAATTTTGAAAATTTTAACTTCCTCAATTATGGAAACCCTTAGTCAAGAACAGTCAGAACGTACAGCAGTAAATACCGAGAATATGAAAGATTACCAACTCCGACATGGAATGTTATACAGGAAGGTGATCGTTGATGGTGAAGTGAGACTGTTGGGGCAGTACCTGATTCGATGCGCAAAAGTATTGTAGTAAGATTCCATGATTTGGCTGGACATTTTGCAGTGGACCGAACAGTAAGTAAAATTAAGGAGAAATATCATTTTCCACAAATGCGCCGTTATGTGAAAATGCACATCAACTGTTGTCCTGAATGTGTGTTGATCAAAGTTCCTAGAGGGAGGCAGCCAGGTGAACTTCATCCTATCACACCAGGTAAAAGGCCTTTTGAGGTGATCAATATAGATCACATTGGTCCCTTTGTAAAGTCAACGAAGGGTAACAGTTATATTATGGTATTAATCGATAACCTAACTAAGTATGTTAAGTTATATCCTGTAAAGAGCTGCGGCACAGAAGGAGTAGTCTCTAGTCTGCGGTCATTCATATTGGTATTTGGAACTCCAAAGCGGATAATTAGTGATCGAGGAACAGCCTTCACATCAAAAGCTTTTGAGTTATTCTGTATCCAGGATGGTATTCGACATACCCTGAACTCAGTAAGGCACCCATAATCAAATGGGCAAGTAGAGTGCGTCAACAGCACTCTAGTACCAGTGATGCAGTCAGCCATGGGGTCAGATCGGACCTGGGACAGACACATTTCAGATGTGGAGTGTCACTTGAACAATGCGTACAATAAGACTATAGGTGATACACCTTTCCACGTTTTGTTCGGGTACTACCCAAGTTTCAGGGATGGTGTACTGCATCATGTCACTAAAGTTGATGAATGGGATTCAACAGCAGAGATCCAGAATAAGATACGAGAGCGCATTACAAAGGAACACCAGATGTGGAAGCAACGATATGACTCCAGACATGTTAAACCAATGCAGTTAGTATTAGAGAAGTGGTGTTCATAAGGAAGCCACTGGATGCTACAGGAGAGTCGACCAAACTACAGTTTAAGTATCGAGGGCCGCTAGTGATAACAGATGTATTACCTAACGATACGTACCGAGTGTCAGCACTACGGACAGAGGCTGGTAAACGTTATGTAACAGTAGTACATGTGTCACACATAAAAGGATATCATTTACCTGACAATGAAGAACCATTCGAGGGGAACAAAGATAACGAACAAAGAGATGTACCAACCGCTGTAAACGAAGAGGTAGAGCAGACTGAGTCTGTCAAGATACATTCCAAGCGAGAGAGGAAAGCTCCTGTTTGGCATGCATCGTACAAGATGTGATAAATCAAATGTAGTAATTTTTTTTTTATAACTAAGTATTACAAGTATAATGTAATAAAATGAATTATGTAATGTTAAGTATCATATAATATTTGTTATGTTAGGTTTATCTTTTGTATTTTTGTATGATTTTTAAGTTGTTTTACTTTAAATGTTTTGAAACTCTTGTTGTAAGCCAAGACGGCTGAGGGCAGCCTAAGGACAGGATGCCCGAATGTTATCAATATGTATATTATGATAAGGAGATAGGCAGTAGGGACCACTGTACGCGACCGATCAGTATCGATCCAAGCGACGGATGTGATGGTTCTCGAGTATATGTGTTTCAAAGTCTAGTTAATTAAAATAAAGATCAGTATTATGTGCCAAATATTGTGTGTTTTTACAAATTTATAACATAAGCAAATGTATGAAAATGATGATGTTTGCAGCATGGACAGCGATCTTTTTATGTTTTCTATTGTACCACTTGAGTTGCGTTGTTTAAACGAAAAAAATGAAACATTTGTTCTATGGAAAAACAACCGTACATCATCTACGCGTTATTGCCAGCCAATAATGTTTGATTTTAAAAAAGAAACGGTAGCATCCACTTTACTTGAGGTAAACATTATTGAAGAGCAAATTAAGCAATTAAATTTTTCAACTGTACTTGTACATGGTATAGAAATAGCAGTTGCACATAAATTAGTATTTACGATGGTTGATGGAAAGGTATATAATAATAATAAACAATATGTGTATAGGACATTATCTTTTTTTACTTTAAGTTTACTTAGGTGTGCAATTCATTAACAAATACATCTAGTCAAAGATGTTATATTTGTTTAAATACCCCTACCCAAATGAATAATATTGAAAACTTTACAAAATTTGAGGTAAAAGAAGAATCTCTAAAAATTGGACTATCTACGCTTCACGCGTGGATACGATTTTTTGAATGCTTATTACATATTTCTAATCGGTTGGAAATCAAAACATGTTCTGTAAGTATATAATATGAATAATAATCATTTTGGAAATACAGGTAAACCGTTTTTTACTTTTATATAATTTATTTAGGTCCGAAAACCAGAACATAAATTAAAAGTTTCCGAAACAAAAAAACAAATTCAAGAAAGATCTCGTAAAGAAATTGGTTTACTTGTTGATAAAGTCGTCCAAGGTAAACATTTTTATTTTACATTTTAACTGCTTAAATTCTGTACTATAGAAGAATATAATATTAGAATAGGAAAATATTTTTTTTTTTTTTTAAGGAAAAAGAAATACAAATGATGGTAACACTGCGAGACGGTTTTTTCAAAACCCAGAAAAAAGCTGTGAAATTACTGGGATAGATATAAATTTATTTAAACGGGTTGGAAATATTTTATCAGTGATTTCTAGTGAATATGAGGTAAACATAGAAGCATTTGAAACGTATGCATTAGATACAGCTAAACTTTTTATACATCTTTACCCATGGTATTATATGCCTGCCAGCATACACACTTATTATTTTAGGTCAACTTTCCGAAGAAGCACAAGAGTCGAGGAATAAGGACTATAAACGAATTAGAGAACACCACACGCGTAAAAGTTCTAGAAAAAATACTAATGAAGATCTTTTCCATATGCTACTTGTTTCATCTGATCCATATATTTCATCAATTAGACATTTATCAACAAAATGCAGACAAGAACTTTCTGATGAAGCAAAATCATTATGTGTAATGTATCTTAATAATAATTATGATTTAAATCAATCATTCAATGACATTGATTTAAACATTTGATATTTTAAATGTAGTGAATATATTTATTGATTAATATCAATTATGAGTTGATGATTTAAAGCTAATTGTTTGTATTATATAATAAATATTATTTGAACTACCTGTTGTAATAATTGTTAAAGTAGGTAGGTACCTAACGCAAATCATACGGTAATACGTTTTCTGATAATACTAAATGTTCTACGCCGGTATAGTTTACCGGCGCACTAACAAATATATGTTTTCAAATTGCTAAGAACTTTCTCTATGACATCCATCTGTTCTAGGAACGAAAAAAATGTGTAGATTTAAGTGGCACTCTTTCAAAATTTAAAAAATTTAAAAAATTTTTTTTTTTACTTTTTTTGTATGATAAAAAAAAAGTTTAAAATAAAAATTCCATTTTCGGTCTTTAATATTAGCCTTAGGACCTTACAATTTAATATAAAAATATTATTTATCAAAAAATATATATTCTTCGATATGAAAGAAAAGCCAAGTAAAACTATAAAATTCGATGAAATATTGATAGAAATAAAGAAATTGTTTACTAAACATGTTACAGCTCTTTAGAATTTATACTTAGGAAATTGTAACTCGGGATTAATATTCAATAGTGTATACAAATAATAGTTCCATTACAAAAAAAATTAAAATTGACATTTAAAATAGGTACCTATAGACTTTTGGCCGCGTAAAATGACGTTTCAGACCACTGTGCCACGCCCTGGAACTACCCCTGAATATGTAATAACCCTTTGAAAATAAAAACTACGCCCTTCCCCAGAAATATTTATGAATAATTACATCACCAAGTGCGCCTGTCAGCGATATCCGACACTAATTAAAATGTCCGAATTGGTGGCTGCTCCTAGCGGAACAACGATATATTTCGTGACTCATCGAACATGTCGCAACTAATTATTTGACGCAGTGAATGTGTTAATTCCTTATTTTTTTTTTCTATAAATGTGTATATTTATTGAAAGACAAGAATTAATTTAACGTTAAGAGTCGATTGAGTACCAAAAACGTGTTTTTGAAAATAGTACTTCATATTTATAAAGAAAACCATTTTTGTAAATAGCTGTTGAAACTGAATGCAAAACAGGTTTATATTTTTAAATTACTAACATTTCCTTTACAATATGTATGTATTGAATAGTTAGTACAATTGCGTAAATGTCAATACCCACTACATAGAGATACATTTATTAGATGTAAAATATTCATCTTAGCGTTTATTTAAATATAATATTTTTACTTTATTCCATAATTTTAGAAAATAAACAGAAAGAAGAAAGATTTCGTACTATAACAGCTGGACACTTAATGACTATTTAGTTGAATATCCTTTGAAAGATACATTTACTACTCAAAATAATAAATTTAATGTTTTAAATATTTCATCCGATAAGCCTATTGGACAAAATGAACAGCCTTCTAGTATTGTCCTAAATGATAAAATTCGATCTTGAATATTACATCATAAGGTATGATGTAATTATGGGATCATAATTGTGCTAATTCTATATTAAAAATTATGAAATCTGAAGGTTTACAAGTTCCAAGTGATGAGGGCACCTTGATGAAAACACCTCAGTCTCATGAAATTGTTAATATGGATAATGGTTCATACATTCACTTTGGATTAAAACAAATGTTAACTCCAATTTTAAAAAAGGATTTCAATAAAATAGACTTTAATAATGTTTTAAAATTAGGAATAAATATAGATGGCCTGCCAATTTCAAAAAGTTCTAAAAATCAGCTATGGCCAATATTGTTATCAATAATTAATTGTAGTGAATTATCTAATTTTGTAATTCCAATAGGGATATTTCAAGGATTAACAAAACCATCGTCAGTTACTGAATACTTCCATCCTTTTTTATTGGATATTTCAATATTGTTAGATAGTGGGCTTTGTGTAAATGATAAAATATTTAAATTTGAGATAGGTCATATTGTTTGTGATTCTCCCGCTAAGGCATTTTTATTAAATGTAAAAGGGCATAATGGTTATTTTGGTTGTTCGTCATGTACACAAGAGGGCAGGTATTTACAAAACATAATGACATATTATCCTGATATAGATGCTCCATTAAGATCTAATGAAAGTTTCCTTAATAAGGTAAATGAAGAATATCATAAAGGCGATAGTCCGTTGGAACTATTAATATTGTGAACAACGTATGTTTAGATTACATGCATAATATATGCCTTGGAATCACTAAGAGACTTGTTGAGTTTTGTTTAAAGGGTAAAAAAGATCTTCGACTAACCGAGGAAGAAAATAGAAAACAAATTACTGTTGACTTATTAAAGCTTAGACCTTATGTTCCATCCGAATTTAGCCGTCTACCAAGAGCATTAGAAAATATAGATTATTAGAAAGCTACTGAACTTAGATCGTTTTTATTGTGTTATGGTCGAATAGTTTTAATAGGAAAATTAAAAAAAAACTTTTTTTCCCATTTTATGCTCTTATCTTGTGGAGTTAAAATTGTAATAAGTTATAATATATGGCAAACTCATAACGCTATAGCTTTAACATTGTTTAAACAATTTATAACTTTACAGCGAACAATTTATTTCTTATAATGTGCATAGTTTGCTACACTTACCAATGTTTGTGAGAATTCATGGCCCATCTTGATAATTTCAGCTGTTTTAAATTTGAAAATTTTTTACAATATATAAAAAAATCAATTTAATGTGCAAAATATCCACTTCAAGAAATTTATAACAGAATAATTTAAAAACAAAAGGTTTTTATATCTAACCCACTAAAAGAATGCAACTATATGGTACTAACAGAAATGGTAAACAGAATTCCTTCTAAACATTATAACTTGAGAGGACGCTACACTGGTCATTTTCAGAGGTAAAAACACGTCAACGAAAAACAAACGAAATGGCATCAAAAAATGGTTTTATAGTAAAAATGCTTGTAATGAAATTTATAGAGAACAATATTTAGGAGGGAACCTCATCGGTGTTTTTCAATATCAATTAGTAAAAAACTTACAGTTATTTAAAAAATGTAAAAAAAAAGGTTTTTGTCCCTTTAATATCGAGCTGTGTATTTAGATTAATAGATAAACCCAATGAGGTTCCCTCCGAAATATTAATCTCTATAAAATGTATTATAGGTATAGAGTATATTTACTCTAAAACCAATTTTTAATGGCTTTTCGTTTGTTTTTCGACAGCATGTTTACGTCGTTAGATTTGATTTTTCATTGCCATCATTCTAAGCCCCCCCCCCAAACTTAGCCGTAGCCCCCCCCCCCCCCAAAAAAAAACCTAGGACATACAATTTTAATATGCTACATTGCAATGGTCTGCTTGCCTTTAATATATTCAGTCCCCCCAAGTCAAAAGTTGAATTTGCGCCTATAGGTACATCAAACTTCAAAATATGCATCATCCAGCAATAATAAATTTAAATACTTAATCTGTAATCATTTAAAATAAATATTGCTGATAATAAGTATAAATGTTTAGTGGTAGGTATAGGTTTAGGTAAAGCAATTATGGCTGTACTAAGTCATTCATTGCATGAAACGGTTAATAATGAGTAGGTATATAAACAAAATATATATAATAATATATCATAAGTTTTTATGTGATTTGAATTTTGTAATAATTTTTTTTTTTTATTATTATTATGTTCATATTAAGTGTCATATTACGTTATATTATTATTCTTTGTTACCTTTATATTTATTTAATAAATAATTAATTACTGATATTTTAAATGAAGACCTGTGTGTTTTTTATAAACATTATACTTCAACTCATGTAGCATAAAATAAGTTAAATCTTATTGTTGTCAAAGTTCAAAAGATCAATAGAAAAAAAAAATAATTATTATTTTTGTGCTCTGCAATATTTTTTTTTTTTTTATAGATTATCCATTTATTACATAAAATATATAAAAATTACATAATAAACTTATAGATTATCTACCTTCTAAAAGCAATGCTTGTGTTGAAGGTAGAGAGCGACAAATTACTTACAATGATAAACTGAAGGTGACTAGGGCACTAGCTCAATCTATTTTTGTTTTATTACAGTGTACAAATGGTCAGTAAGTTGTCTATTATAGTTCTTATAGTAGAACTAGTAGAAGACATAATATTACTATGGTTATAATAATAAAAACAATATAATATTTTCTGTGATATTGATAATTATGATTAAGTGTTAATGTGTACTAGTGTGTCCTAGTTGTCCCGATTATTATGATGCCATTTTAAGGGGCCTCACCACCCGGGTAGAAATTATTTATTGAAAATTGGTGTTGGGATCGTGTCCTAACCCGGTGCAGGACCACTGGTGTCAAGTTGGTGTTTTTGGTGTCATAAGTGTTTAAATAGTGACATGTACGGAGTTCGACCATTTCTGGACCACCACAATAGAATCCTGTGTTGAATGGTGTCCTAACGGTGTCTACGAGAATAGGATATATTTTTGTTTTAATCTGGCTACACTGTTAACTAGTCAATATTTACGTATGTATTTATATAACACTGACAAACGGTTATGGGTTCGGGGTTAGACTGATAAGTTTATGGCTAATATCTGTAATGTAAGACGTCCGTACAGAAAAGAAAATTTTATTTTCGTAAATTGTAGTGTAATAGTGTAAAACAGGCAACGACCGTTCAACTATACAGTGAATTCGAGACAAGTAAGTTTAGTATTTACTTTATATTACTAATACTATAGGTACTATTGTAATATGTATTGCATTATATTGTGGCCAACGTGTACGCGTACACAGTTGTAGTTGTTTCATTATACCTATTACCGATTAATTATTATGTTCTAAAATAACTATTTATTCTTATTCGCGTAGTTGGTAGACCAAGTATATACAAACTGGTACCTGTCAAAAACAAAAAAAAAATTGATAGTAGTAATGTAAGTCTAGACCAGTGGTTTTCAAACTTTTATTGAACGCGGCACACCGTGCTCCACAAAAAATGTTCAAGGCACACAGACCTTTTTTTTTGCACTAAATAATTAGATGAACAAAATTATTTTGAATTATAATTATATAAGTACTTAGTACATTTAATTAGAAATGAGTGATTGACGAATGACGGGCTAACAAATTTTTATTAATTTTCTTTTTATAATTATATTCTTGGACGAATAGTTGAACTCTCCGAAAGACCGCGGCACACTCAGTGAATTCTCGAGGCACACCAGTGTGCCGCGGCACCCAGTTTGAAAACCACTGGTCTAGACTAATGTCAGTTAAATCAGTCTAGTAAGTCTAGACTAATCTCTTACTTAAAAAAATATAAACTTTTATCCAAATTTCAGTTTGGCTTTCGACCGGGTAGGAGTACCATTAATGCTTTTTATTCTACAACACAATTTATTTATGAAAAATTAGATAGTAATGAAAAAGTTATAGCAATATTTTTGGACTTGGCTAAGGCTTTCGATACTGTAGACCATGGGGAATTGATTAATATTTTGCCAGGTTTTGGAATAAATGAGGAAAGCCTAAGCTGGTTCTCTAGCTATCTGGAAAATAGAACACAGTTAGTTTCAGTAAATAACGAATTAAGAATAAAAAAAGAAATTGATTGTGGTGTCCCACAGGGCAGTGTATTAGGACCAATTTTATTTATCTTATATATTAATACTATTTGTGACTTAAATACAGGTGGATTAGTGGTTACCTATGCTGATGACACTTGCCTTCTTTTTTCGGGAAAGTCTTGGGAAACTGTAAAGGAAAAAACTACAATAGGTTTAAATAGAGTATTCCAAGAGTTAAACAATAAAAAACTAACCTTAAATATTAAAAAAAACCAATTTTATTGCTTTCTCTATAAATAACGCCATAATTCCCATAAATAATATTCTTATACATACATGTGGTAATATTAACTCTAATACTTGCAAATGTCAAGAAATAATAAGGGTAACACGTATAAAGTATTTGGGTGTTATTATTGATTCTAATTTGAGATGGAATATACATATTGATAATACAGTAATGCGCTTGAGATCAGTAATTTTCAAATTCTATAAATTGAACAAAATTCTACCTATGGAAGTCTGTATATGAAGCTCTGTATAATAAGTCTATTATGCAATATGGCTTGATAATCTGGGGAGGATGTGCGGAAAATTCAATAAGACCTCTAATAGTACAACAGAACTCAGCGGTCAGAATATGTTAAGACAAAAAAGATAGACAAGGCTCATCTTCACTTAATTACAAAACTTTAAGAGTGTTGTCAGTTAAAGTACTGTATAAGTTTTTTGCAATTGTTAATATTTCTAAACAGTGTATATATAAATCTAAAAACAAAAGGGAATTCAGGGCATATGATATTAGTATAAAGAACACAAATAAACAATTCAGTCAAAGATTTATTGATTACTTAGGTCCAGTTATGTATAACTCTTTACCTTTAAATATTAAAAAAAATATTTTTGATCATTATACTTCAAAATCTAATAATATTAATAAGTTAATTAAAATAATTATTAAAAATTGGTTATTAAGTGAATTTGTGTAAATGAAAACTTTGATATACGTTATCTGTAAAACTAATTTTTAGTGATATATGTCAACTTGTACAACTTTATTTTATTTTATTTTATTTTATTTACTAGTCTCTAAACTGTAACTCATTTAACCCACTTTGCTTACTGGGTTAAATTAATCAAGGTGTAATTTTTTTCATATAATATGTCATAATATGTAATGTACGATTTGATCAAATAAAAAAAAAAAAAACTGTTCATAGTGAGCCGTGCATTTCTGAAATAGAACATCATAGTACACTCGATAATATTTCTGATGAACTATGTCCTCTTCATCAGTTTTTATGTTCATGGAGTATTGGTATATCTACTGAGATTGGAAATCTAGCCTTGAAGAATGTTCAACTACCTGATGTATTACATTTAAATGTAGGTATTGATGGTTTGCCAATATCAAAGGGTACATCAGATGACGTATGGTCAATATTAGGTTTATTTACAAATGTACCAGAATCAAAAGTATTCTTAATAGGCATTTTTCACGGAAAATCAAAGCCTAAAATATCAAATGAATATTTATCTGATTTTGTAAATGAAAGTATACTATTAATTAATGAAGGAATAATTATTGGTGAACGACTATTAAAAATTAAATTGAATGCGTTAGTGGCAGATGCTCCTGCTAAGGCCTTTTTATTAAACATTAAGGGCCATAATAGTTTTGATTGTTGCTCTAAATGTCATGTTAAAGGATTTTGGCTGGGAAAAGTTTGTTTTCCCACAACTGTTTCAACATTAAGTCATGAAATTTTTAAGCTGTACAGCGACCATGATTACCATAAGCAACCTACTATTTTGGATCAAATACCAGG